GGTGAGGAAGAACATGATAAAGAAGGCCGGGTGATTATAGCTGAATTTGATGCGTTTGTGCTGGTTACAGCCTATGTACCTAACGCAGGCCGCGGTCTGGTGCGACTGGAGTACCGGCAGCGCTGGGATGAAGCCTTTCGCAAATTCCTAAAGGACTTGGCCTCACGTAAGCCTCTTGTGCTGTGTGGGGACCTCAATGTGGCTCATGAAGAGATTGACCTTCGCAACCCCAAGGGAAACAAAAAGAATGCTGGTTTTACTCCACAGGAGCGCCAAGACTTTGGGGAACTGCTGGAAGCTGTACCACTGACTGACAGCTTCCGGCATCTCTACCCAGATACAGCTTATGCCTATACGTTCTGGACCTACATGATGAATGCACGGGCCAAGAATGTTGGTTGGTGTCTTGATTACTTTCTGTTGTCTCACTCTCTGTTACCTGCACTGTGTGACAGCAAGATCCGTTCCAAAGCCTTGGGCAGTGATCACTGTGCAATCACTTTACTCCTAGCACTGTGACTCCTCCCTAAGATCACTCTTGAGCCTGAGGGGGGGAAAACCTTCAAACAAGCATCTCCTCTTTAAAAATTTCTTCTACAAAATCTGCAGTGTATAATGCCTTCTAAAAGTAATATGAACCCTCCCAATAGTTTCCTGTCCTGGTGGTCTCGATTTTTTTAAGCCAAGATTTTTATTTTGTTGAGTCTTGTTTGCTTTTAAGCAAATGCTACTGGTAACTTCCTCATTCAAACTGTCCATGTGAAAATAAAAAGTCATAGTTTAAAAAAAACCCAAAAAACAAAAACAATGATCTCCTAAAACATTATACAACATGGGGGAACTTGGAGGATATTATGGTCAGTGTAATATCTCAGTCACTAAAGGACCAATACATTGCTTTAGAACAGATGAGGGGGAAAGTCATAAGAAAAGAATATATGATTAGGCATTATATGTATGAGAACAATCTGGAACAAGGGATGCATTGCAGGGAGGGAGGAGGGGAAAAGAAAATGTACGACAATGAAAAAAAGACATTAAAATACGACATTTTAAAAAGAGTGCATCAGATTATTTCAAAGAGCAGTTTAGGAAGACAAAGCAAAATATAATAATGAAATGTGCAGAGATAGAATTAGAGAATAAAAAGGGGAAATGGTTCAGTGTTTATCTATCTGAAATAACTGAAAAGCAAATTCAAGCCTTGAATTGCAATACTTTGAGATGCTATGGGCAAAATCTTGAATGATCCAGAAGGTATTAGAATTAGAGAGAGAGAGAGAGAGAGAGAGAGAGAGAGAGAGACAGAGAGAGAGAGAGAGAGAGATGAAAGGAATACACAAAATCACTGCACCAAAAAGAATTCACTGACATGGAAATATCAAGATCAAGAGCCATTGAAAGAAGACATTCTAGCTGCACTAAAGACATTGGCAAAAAATAAGACCTGATTTTCCAACAGGGTGAAAAGAAAACCTACTGACTGGTAATGAACATTTGGCAATATCATCTCAGACAAGGGTTCTCATAACAAGAGTACACAGAAAACTTCTGGACCTCCAGAAGAAAAAGACTGATAACACAATTATAAAATAAGCAAAAGACATAATAAGACTTTTCACAAAGGAAGAAATTCAGATGGCCAATAGACACATGAAGAAATGCTCAAAATCACTGGCAGTGGCTTTGTTCACAATAGCAAGGAGTTGGAAGTTACCTAAGAGCCCATCAACAAAGGAATGGATAGAGAACCTGTGGTATATTCACACAACGGAATATTATACTGCATTAAAAAACAAGGAATGCATGTAATATTATTCAATATGGGTGACCCTAAAGGACATTTTGCTGGGTGAAATATCTCAAAAGGACAAATACTGCATGGTGCCACTGTTGTAAAACAGGACTGACATCGGGGTTGGGGAAGACTGAGAAAGATGGGATATACAATGTATATTGCATTGAAACAGATAAGGGAGAAAACTGTTTAAAAGGGATATGTGATGAGGTATTATTGTCATGACAGGAGTCCAGAACGAAGGCTGCGTAGTGGAGTGGACTTGGGAGGAGGGATTGTAAAACAATGAAAAATTTTTCTTTTACTTTTCAAAGAGTGTAATGAGGTTGGGGGATAAGTGGGCAGGGAGACAAGTGCAACAATGAATGAATGGAAATCCAAAGTCTCTGTAAATTTTCATTAAAATTAATAATACTTTTAAAAAATTTTAAAAAGAGAAAAAAATCACTGGCAGTAAGAGATATGCAAATCAAAACCACAATGAGATAACATCTCATCCCAGTTGCAGTGGCAAAGTTTAGCAGTCCAGCAAGCAATAAATGTTGAAGAGGATGTGGAGAGGTGGGAACTCTCATACACTGTTGGTGGGATTGTAAATTGGTACAACTACTCTGACGATAGTTTGGTATTTTCTCAAAAAGTTTAACATAAAAACTTTGTATAACCCAGCTATTCCACTAAGAGGAATATACCCCAAGGAAACTTGAACTGAAAAACAAACAGAGATATGTACACTAATGTTCATAGCAGCATTGTTTACCATTGCAAGAACATGGAAACAGTCCAAATGTCCAATTACAAATGAATGAATTGAGAAATTGTGGTACATCCACACAATGGAATACAATGCACCATCCAGAAGCAACAATTTCAAAAAATACTACATAACTTTAGAGAGACTGGAGAGCATTATAGTGAGTGAACTATCTCAATCTCATAAGGACAAATACTGCAAAAGACCATTATGGTAAATGTAGAAGGATAACTAGTAAAACAGGTATGGGGACAGAAGTGGGCAAGAGGGGGGAATGGAAGGATGAGGATGGGGAGGGGCAAAAGCATAAGGTTGCAAAGTTTGGTGGGTAGAGGGAGGAAGAGAAGGAAACGGGAAGGATCTGGTGGGGACTTGAAAAGACTGGGTAATGATGAGCAAAGTCCAATGGTGATTGCTTTTATAAAATATAATGCATGGGAATGATTATATGAAACACAGTAAGAATAAAGAATAACGTGAAACACAATATATACAAACTTTTGAACAAACCAATATAAAATAAAATGTTTTTAAAAAGGCCTGAGGAATCAATGGGATACCAATTGGCATGTTTCAAATGACAGATACAGCTGTGGATAACACCAGCCCTGAGCACACCAGGCTATGCTAGGAAATTTGGAGGAAAACTGTCCGGCGGACTGACAGGAAGAGATCCATATTTGTTCCCATTCCCAAGAAATGTGATCCAACAGAATGAGAACATTACTGGACAATTTAATTATTATCACCTTCAAGCAAAATATTTTTGGAGATCATTCAAAAACAACTAGAACTGTATATAGACATAAAACTTCCAGAAGTTGAAACTGGATTTAGAAGAGGCCATGGCACCAAGGAAATAATTGCTAATGTCAGATGGATCTTGGCTGAAAGCAAAGAACACCAGAAGATTGTCTACATGAGCTTTATTTACTATGTAAAGGCATTTGACTGTGTAGACCAAAACAAATTATGGTTAACATTGAGAAGAATGGGAATCCCAGGACACTTAATTGTGCTCTTGCAAAACCTACCTACATAGAGCAAGAAGATGTTATGCAAACAGAGCAAGGGAACATTATACGGTTTAAAATTCTGAAAGATATGTCCCAGGTATAGAAGCTGGACTCTATGAAGAAGAATGTGGTATCAGGATTGGAGGAAGACTTATCAATAACATTTTTTAAGCAGATGATACAACGATGTGCTGAAAATGAAGACTTGCAGCACTTGTTGCAGAAGATCAAAGACTCCAGCCTTCAATATGGATTACATCTTATCAAGAAAACAAAAATTCTAACCACTGGGCAGATAGGCAACATCATGATAAATGGAGAAAAGATGTCATCAACTTCATTTTACTTGAATCCACAGTCAATCTACTTGATACCAGCAATCAGGATCTCAGAAGATGTGTTTCACAGGAAAAGTCTGCTGTCAAGGATTCCTCCAAATTATTGGGAAGTAATGATGTTAGTTTTAGGATTAACGTGTGACTAATTCAAGCCATGGTCTTTTCAATCACTTGCTGTGCTGCTGAAGCTGGACAATGAATAAGGATGACAAAGGAATTGATGTCTTTGAGCTGTGTCATTGGAGAAGAGCACTGACAATGGTAAGAATGGCCTAAGGAACAGATAGGTCATGGAGAAGGTACAGCCAGGATTCCTTCCTTCCTTCCTTCCTTCCTTCCTTCCTTCCTTCCTTCCTTCCTTCCTTCCTTCCTTCCTTCCTTCCTCCCTTCCTCCTTTCCTCCCTTCCTCCCTTCCTCCCTTTTCCTTCCTTCCTTACATCAGATAAGGTGACCACAGCGTCAATAGAGTGCTTCATGTCATTGCTTCTCCATGACCTATCTGTTCCTTAGGGCATTCTTGGCACTGTCAGTGTTCTTCTCCATTGGAGGAAATCTTCATCCTAGAAGTTTTACTGCTGCTTAAAATTTTGACATAATGTGTGAGGGTAGCAGAGGTCTCTATCGTAGATGGAGGTACAAAACAGCACAAAAAACTAGATACAATTTTACAAATTCCAAGTGTGATCTATGTATCAATTTAGAGTCATTGGAATCTCCATTCACAGTAGCTGCCAAGGTCTCTCCAAGGGTTTATAATAGATGCTTACAAGCAAGACTGATAGCAAGACAAAATACTGAATGGAGGCTCTCCTGGAGCCACAAAAACAAGAGAAAGCACTTGTGTGCCATATTGTTGTTTTTGTTAAGTCACATTGAGTTGTAGACAACTCATTGCGACCCTAGGAACTAAAGCCCAGAGCACTGTTCATATTTGTTTTAATTGGGGCGCTCCACCAAACACTGTCCACCATAAGTAACCATTATCACATTTGGCACATGAATAAACCAGGCCACCCTACTTACTGCTCACCAATCCCAGCCAATAGCTTCTGTAGAATCAGCTCCTGTAGATGACTTTTAAACTGGTCTCAGGGCCATGCCCCTACCCTCATGGGTTTTTCAACAGAAGGCTTTATCACAAATGTGTCACTTTTTATAGAGTCATCAGGTATCTGGGCTGACAAGAAGCAATCAAGTCCTAAACTTTTCAAAATGATGAAGTGATAGCCAGTACCAGACAAAATAATTTCAATATTTTTAGATTATAGGCCATCTAAAGACTACTATTGATCAAAACCTTTGCTTCTTATTCCTATAAGAATAAGACACTTAGTGGGATGGGATTGAAAAATCTTTTTATAATAGCCTTTGGTGCTACTGATTTTCCTCATAGGTTACATTGCTAGCAAAACCTCTCTTTTCTTGAAACCTGAGGTGTACATATGATTAGAATAATTTACTCCAGGAGTTTGAATCTTATCTTCAGAATAACACACCTTTGATGTTAGGTGGTGTGGTGTCAAGGGTTTACCTTTCAAAATGCCTTTCTTATCCCTTGATATCCTAAGACTCCACCCTGCTAAAAAGCATGGCCTAAATGGCCACATTCAGTT